CTCAATAATTTTCTTTAAGATCAAATCATGTAACTAACATACCTTCAGTTTCTCTCAGGTTGATAGACAATAATAGTTTTTATTTTAAACATATTTCAATTATGCATTTTTCTTAGCTTTTATTTCTGTAATTGTAAAACAAATATTTATTACTATAATTTATGTAATTAGGCAATAATGTTGAAGATCCATAATCAAGCAGAAAACATATCCCTCTCTACAGAGAATTGTCTTATCCACTAAAGATTAGAAACATGCATAAACATTCAATTTTCCAGACAACTTTCTGTTATGATAAATATTTAATAAACACACTGTATATTTAAAATATGATGAAATTAATTTATTATTTATAATTACATAACAAAAATGCTTGATTAAAACAAAACAGTTATTAAATTAGTCTTATTAAATTGATACTTCTAAAAATTATAATAAAATTTAAAAAATGATTTTTAATTGTTTACATCAACTATACAACATTGCAAGTAATAAGGATACCATTACATAGACAGGTAGAAGATATAAAATGACACAATAAACTATATTTTATATTGAAGTAAATAAATGTTGAAATTGTAATTTTTTTTTTAATATTGTTATTATAGTAACAACAATACAGTGGGTGATCGGTTAATGAACATAATCCGTTCCAAGACTTTGTTCGCTATCCAAATTGTTTGTTAACCGATTATCAATTTACCATAGATTTCTATGGGAATTTGATTAATTTGTCCTGGAGACCCCCAAAAATAAAAAATATATACTTTCTTACTACGTTTATTCACATGTAATAATAAAAATACATATATACATGGTCTTGCATTTTTATTAGTCGTGTTTTTTCCGTTTGTGGGGGTTAAAGAATCTGTCCAATGTCAATTGCTTTTCTGTCTTCTTCATGATTTTTCAGAAGTAATTAATCGCATTGTAATTGTAGAGATCTATAGGCCTATTAACCTCAACCTGGTTTGGATGCCATTTTAAGACCGTTGTTCTGACATCCTCCCACTTCTTCAAAATATCTTAGCAGATATCGGCATGAATCCGCATTTTCAGAAGAAAACGTAAAATAATTGTTTCTGTCAGAAATATAAAAGGCTGGAATTACAAGGGAAGTTTTAAAGTTTGGGGGAATACTATCCAATCAGTATATACTGGGCAGAACGTCGATATCGACGTCTCCCGCGCTCTGAAAAGTTTCGAATTGTTGACTGAAGACAATCGAAGACCAATCGGTATTCGTTGTTTACGTCACTTCTTCTTGTGTTTGTTCAGTGAAGTGTTCGTTATCCGATCATGTGTTCGTTGTCCGATCATAAAAATCTTTCGCAAGAGTGTTGTTATCCGATTTGTTCGTTAACCGATCACCCACTGTATTAAAAAAACTACAATTTCAACATTTGTTTACTTCAATATACAATATAGTTTATTGTGTCATCTTGTCTTCTACCTATCTATGTAATTATATAAATAAATATTCTAAATATATGCAAAAAATTGCTGGGACTGATTCTTTGAATAATTTCAACTTTCTTAAGTGCATATGAACATACATTCAAAATGGAATGGTTTTAGTTACAAGATATTCAATATGTGGCCCCATTGAAAATGCTGATGAATTACAGAATCATATTGTTGTATCCTGTAAAATAATTTGACACACCCCTTGTATTTGTGAATGTAAGCACCAATCTGTGTGGTGGAGGATAGAATCCTGTATTACAGTTGGCACTTTCAACAGTTATTACAACTATGCTGTTTTGAACATACGTTCATATGCAATTTTATTGTTTAAATCAGGGTTTCTCAACCTCTAACAAATCGTCGCCCCCTTCAATAAAACCGTTATGGAGTATCGCCTCCTTCACTACAAAATTCTGATGCCAAGGGACAAGGCTAACGCCAAATTTGTACTGCATTGAATAGACCAGGGGTGGCCAACCTTTTCAGAAGGCGGGCCAAATTTCAGAAATAATATTTCCTGCCGGACCACGCACCTATTTTTTTTTTTAAATTTTAAATTAAAGTAAACAAGCAAGCGTGCTACAGCTTCAACCACATCGTCGCTTTCCAGTAGGTGAGATTGTGGTCAAACACTTGCCTGGTTTAATGTAAAAAAACACAAAAAATAGGTATATTTATTTTTTGAAGAAAATAAAACAACCGAGAATCAAACATATTTATTAGACAATTTAAAAATATTTAAAAGTGAGACATCTGACTGTTTTACAGAACTAAGTGCATCAAAATTGATCTCCACTGATCTTGTGATCAGTAATTCGATCTCACTTGTGATTTGATGTACTTCATGCGACTAAAAAGCTGTTCACACGCATAAGTGTTCCACATAGTGAAACCATCGACAGAGCATGTTTGTAAAATGACGGATATTTATCCTTGTCCAAATACGTTTCATAGAACTCTTCCAAACTAACTTGATGAAATTTCTCCAACGTTTCAGGGTTTACTTACTTATAGAATTGATATGGTAGACAGGCTATTTGGTTAAAGTAGTTTGAACTGTAATTATAAATATGTTAAATATGTATTTTAACGTCGATTGCAAAATCTCTCCAGATGCATTGGCGATAATAAAACGAAACTACAGAATAACACGGAACTTTGTCAAGCTGGACTGAAAGTATGAGCCCGATAGCATTGTGAGCTTTCCGAAAACGCCAAAGACCACAGAACATATATAGCTGAAGTCTCATATTAAATTTTATCAACACCTAGCGTCGGACAAAAAACTAAGTAACCTTGAGTGTCAAATAGCGGGATATTTGAAATACTCGTAGCTAAAAATCTATGAATTTTTCCAAAATAAGAGATATTTCAAATTTCTGTTAGCTATAATTTAAAAATACATAATAGGAATAACTCATGACGTAATGTTCTTTTGGTGATATGTACAATAAAGTTAACATTTACGTTCATTTGCCCTAGCTCCACGGGCCGCAACATGACTCCAGGCGGGCCGCATGCGGCCCGCGGGCCTCGTGTTGGACACCTCTGCTCTAGAATTTATTTTCCTTAAATTTACGATTTATGTACCGTTTGTCATAAAAATTTGTCTTTCCACTTCTTTCCCGAGACTACAAATACTCATGTACAAAGTAACCGGTTTCGATTTATTTCTACTTAAGAAGTAGTTAAATAATTAAGCAATTAGGGAATTGGGGACATAAACAAAACCCTGACGAAAGAGCCGAAATTTTACTTAAACAAAAGCNTCGTATGATGTGCAGAGGTAAGACTGCTAAAATCGAGACCAGATATGGAAAGCATGGGGCCAGTTAACTATATACTAACTTCCAGTTTTTGGACTGGAAGTTAGTATGTCTGTCTGTAGAGTGAATTTAAAAAGTAGAGTGAATTTTTTAAAAATTAAATGATGGTTAGAAATTGCAGTCTGGCATTGTGACAGCATCACAATAAATAATTGTTAGTTACACTTCACTTAAAACAGAATAAATACAATCTATTTATATATATATATATATACACACTGTATATATAACAACTTATTTTAGTGTTTTAAAAACAAATATCTATCAATTTCATAATAAAATATTATTCTTAAATTGTTTCTATGATTATAACAATGTTATGCAAAATTCATTATTTTTAAGAATATAAGACAATTTACTAGTATACTTTAAAATTTTAGTTATACTTTTACTAGTATATTAATTTACTTTTAGATTATTATACTTTAGTATAATAATTTAAAAGTAAATTAATATAATTTATTGCTACTTTTATAATCACATATCATTTTAAATTCAAATTACTCTACTTTCAAATTGCTTAACATTATAAAACTTTTGAAATAGATCAACTAAATATTATTAAAAGAAAAAAATTATTTTATACAATGAAATTCCTGTTCATTATAATTTTTAAAAATAAAAATCCTCTGAAATACAACAAGAAATTATTAATTTAGCCATCTAGGTTTTGCCGATTATGTAAGCAATGTAAATTGATAAATGACATTGCTTTATTAAAGTTATGATTTTCAAGAAATATTTGTAATATCTGTTTGTTACCTTAGTTAAGTTATGCTTTTCTTTTGAATTGCATAAGAAAAAATTAAATAATTGAATCAAAATAATTAATGATCTTTATGATGAACAGTTTAAATATTAAACTCAAAATATAAGTACAATTGAAACAATAAAACAACAAAATAATAAGAGGAAATACAAAACACCACAGATAACATACATGTTTTTGTTTTTAATAGTGAAAATTATAAAAAGCATTACTATGATCTCACCTATTGAAAAATAAATACTTCATATTAAAATCTAATCCTACTAAATAATGAAAAAAAAAAAAATTGGATTTTACAATAAATTTTTATAAATTAACAAAGTTCTCTCAGTCAATTAGCATGTGTGTGTTTCACTAAAATATTCATCTATTTCATCATGATTGAAGAAATTAAATTGAGGGTGTGGCTAGCAAACAACCTTTTAAATGCTCATTACACTACTATATATATATATAACTTTTATATTTATTTACTTTTTAAATCAATCAAATACTGCAGAAATTTGACTGAAAAATTAAAAAAATTCAATACTAACCTCTATATCAAAAACATGAGTAAACTTCAGCTACAATAAAGTTCAAATAGACTAAAAATGAGTTTAACTCTTGTAAACATAATAAGTAGCAATTGAATTAGAAACTGGTTAGTTTTATCTTTTACATTTAATAATATAATTTTTTCAAATTTGTTATTGTTAATTTCAAAGTACAATCATACTTTACAGTGTATTATTAACTTATCACAAGTTATATCAAATTAAGGAGATTAAATATTAGTTTAGTGATAACACAGAACAGAATTTGAGTGGTTTCAACATTAACGATGAGTAGAATCGGCTGTAGAATGAATAGAATTTACCAATTAGGAGTTTCAATTGAGAAAAGCAGTAAAAAACACGAAATCTCTATGAAAAAATGGATTATAAAGGAGCTCTTACCAGCACTTGCATCATTAGGCTTAGGATTGCGTAGACGGAATTTCATTTTAGTAGAATTAAATAAACGAAGCCGAAAGTTCTAACCAAGAGAATAAAATTATAATACTTGATTAACAAACATATTTAAGAAGAAAACAAAAAGAGCAACATTTTTGGAATTTTCGGATTTCCTTCTGCAAGTGATCAAGCCGCTACTCTAGCGCAACCTAACTATTAACAAACATTTATATCATTTAAAAATTAAGAGTAATTATAAATAAGAAATTATTAATAAATCTTTTTATATTAATAAATTTTGTTTGTTATTTAGTTTTAATTCGTATAAAATTTTTAAATTGGATCTATTAAATGAAATATAATTAAATCATGTATACTGACTTAATACATTACGTTGAATTAATATAGATTATCGGATGGCGGAATGACCAAAATTTTAAATCTTTATGTCCTGTGAGCACTGCGAGAGCCTTGTAATCGTATCCATCGTGGGTTTGGCCAGTCCCACATGGAACAACCGGATGATGAGAGATGAGGTCTGGCATATCCAAAGTAAACTTTCGATGAAAAATTACTATAATTGCTCTCTCGGATTTGGTCCTGGTTTACCCAGAACGCACAGGTCGCAAGACAATTCTAGCTGGACTACTTGACTAGCTGGATTACGTAGGATAGTAAAACCATATTTTTATGATAAAAATATTATTTATTACACTAATTTATATATCATATCAATTAAGAACTTATATATCGACGTTACAGAGTTTGATTCGAAGTCATCTTGTACTATGGTCGACTGGAGTGCCGTGACATTTGGTGATAGGGAAGCTGTTTCCATAAAAATTGTAAACAAATACTGGAAATGACAAAAATAAACAGTTTATTTATTTTAATTCTAAAATAGATAATTGACACAAAACAAAGATATAGAAACTTATTTTCATTATTTTTTTATAAACTAACTTTATTCGGCAATTGTTTTTCGCCAAGTCGTTAATTACTTTACCATAAAAATTGCTCGTCGTCGATTCCATCAAAGTATTTAAAAATCTTTTTCTATTGAAAGCAACGCTAGTGACGATAATCTTTTCTCCGACTGAGTGTTCTTTGTAAATATATCAATTTGCTTCGTGGCTGAAAAATTGCGCTCGACAGACACATTCGTAGACGGTACCGTAAAAATTAATGATATTAAATCATATACAGTAGAACCTCGATTATCCGGACTAATTGGGGATGAAGGTAGTCCGGATAAGGAAAAATCCGGATAATCGAAACAGATACTTTAATTTGTCTTTTAATGATAATACAACACGTTTTCTTTTCGATGACATATCGGTAATATTAAAAGTAAATACTGNAATAAAATAATAAAAACTTGTTCGGTGAAATAAAATGTGTGGTGGATGTACCGGTCCATATCTAGTACAAAATATTCTTCAATTGTACGAATACACTTTTAAAAACAATTATAATTAAATATAGCTTTGTAAAGATACGTACAGTACGTAAAAATAACATTGAATATTCTTTACTTTTTAAATCTTAAAGCAATTCATTTAGTCAAATAGCTCCCAATGAGTGGCTAATGGATGGAATCATTAGAAACGTTATACGATATTTTGGTGTGTAGTATCCACCAGCTAAACCGCGTGATGTTGGTGCTCTGTAAAGCGCATGCGCGAATGCGTATAATCTGGCTGCTTTACACCATTAAAATATTTTCGCCGTGGAAGCTGTCCGGTATTCGATAATACAGCGCTTTCATTGGAAATATGCATATACGAATTTATATTCGAATATACAATAGCAATCTTATCATTTTTTTCACATGTAGTATAGAAATTTGTAATAAGATACATAATGCGGTTGTAATAAAATATTAATTTTAAGTAATTCAAAGTACGTTAAAATACGAAAATAGTCGCACAATATGTATTTGTGACCAGAGGGTCGGCACCTCTTTAGTGCCTCGTCAGGACTGGCACCGATGTGTTTTCTAGGATAGACACAGAAAACTTAACGGCCGCATATTCGGAATACGCGAGAGCGGTCACGTGCGCGGGCGATCGGATACAGGATGGAGGAGGATTGAGAGACGAATCAGAAGTGAATCACACGGATACAAGGTTAACAATTAAAATAACCGATTTAATTCAACAAAAAAAGAGAACACATAGTTCTATGCTATCAAATAACGGTCGAGAAAGAGAGTTTACAAGAAACCGCGAGTTGGTATAGCTACCTTTGATGCACTTAATTGTTCGGATTCCGGATCGCTGACTTTCGGTCGGTCGTTCGGTCGGTTGGAGCAGTTGGGAAGGCGTTAATTTTTATTTTTCTTTTATGGTGGTCAATCCAATGGAAAACTGAAATATATAACAATCCGGGAGTTCGAAGATGTCAAAAAACACAGAGTATGAAATCTTTGATACTTGGTTTTTTCAGGGCACTTGAGTGATACTCGCGTGAACACTCGACGACCTCTTGTCTTTGAGTCACTCTTTTTATACCTCTAAATCACATTATCCTTTTTCACCAATCGGGAATTTTTGATATTAGTTTCCAGTGACACATTCGATGAGTTCCCTGCGAAGGGAAAGGACTCCAGAGAGAGAGAGAGAGAGATGCGGTAATAAAAATGGGGAAAATTTTTCGAAAGACAAAAAATGAATTTTCTCTCGAAATTCGTCAGGTGCGCTCTCTCACATATTTATATTTTAGAAAATACAAGGGAACGGCGCTTCCACAGCTTCCATGAACGGCACGCCACTGCTGTGCTTACATTTGGCGCTTTTAATAATTTTAAAACGTCGCTTAATGGAGTTTTTATTCATGCCAGTGACCTACAGTTTGTAATGATAAGATTTGAATAAATTAAAAGATTATGTAGAATATTGGTGTTTATTCTAGAATTTTTCCAAGAATAACTTTCACGAAATTTTTTGAATTCTTTGTACCTAGTCTTTTGCACTTTTTAGAACAATAGTTGTTCTAAAATGTGTAAAAGACTAGGTACAAAAGACTAGGTAAAAAATTGAATCATTATTTATTATTTCAATAAGACAATTATTGTCCTATTGAAATAATAAATAACCGTTCAATTTTTCGATTCAATTTTTTATCTGTGTATTGAAACTTTGTGAAGAATCATTGGCATTTGATACCAACGACAGAGAGTCATATACAGTAACTCCGCTGTGTTCTTCACGTAAATTTCGTAGCCGGATGTTCATTTTTTTATAATATAACTGGAAACCCGTTATATTAGATTCTTGTTAACATCAGTTATCTCAGCAGTCAGGGTCGGCGCTACCTTACGAATAAATTAGGCATTTTATATAAATTTATGAAAATTTGTTTAAGGCGGCAAAATTTTGTAAATTTATACAAAATTTTCAGGCGTATTATTTTTTAAAATAAATATTTATTATATTACACGGTGCGAGTTGAATATTGACTGATGGAGCAAAGTATGGCACTTCTAATTGGTATGTCATTTCAAAACAAAATATTTTTATTTTATGAAGGGAATAAGGGGCGTCAAATGCATCTTGTCCCGGGCGGCATAAACTCTAGCACAGGCGCTATTAGCAGTAATAATCGAATTTTTAAAAATCTTACCGAACTACCGTCATTGATGTTTCCATCACCATGCTTTGGAGTATCCAGAAGGTCAATTTCATTTTTTAAATCTTTCGGTAATATATAGGCTATATTTTTTCTTGTTGACACTAACTCTTTCTCTTTAGTCATGCGCGCTTGTTGTTTATTTATATGCATTCGATACACTACGTGAAAAATACATGCCATAAATTTTACGTGACAATGAAGAGTCGATAGGTCAAATGAAAAAGTACATTGCCTCTTTTAAAGGAAACCAACCAAGAAAGTCCAAGTTAATTTATTCAATTAGAAAACAGATTTATGAGATACCAGTACTGAAATTATATACTGTATGAGAATTTTACTTTGAATCACGAGTTTATAGAAATGGATACTAAGGCCTGTAATGTTTTAACATAAAATAAGTCAACTTTCTTTCTTTCCTATTAATATGGAGACTAAAATAAGTCAACTCAAAAGACGTGCGACTAAATATCCAGATGGCACAACGCGCTGATTGGTCAGCTGAATGACGTCAATCCACCGAAATAGGAAATGCTGGTCGATTATATTTTGTGATCGTCGGAACGAAGTCACGCAGAAATAGATTATTATTTTTTAGTTGTAATATGGAGTGAGTATAAAGTGAAAATATAGTATAAAGTTTAGCTCGCACGTTTTCTTAAATTTATAGAAATAATTTAAAACGGTTTACTTTTACTTAAGAAATTACTAAGATTATTTATTTTTTTGAACTAATTTTAACTTCATACTTGTACCTCTGAACCAAATCATACAAAATAGATAATTTTAATAGTGCGATTAGTCTTTTAAATTTAAATATACGTGCACAGATAATGAATAACAGAAAATTTATAATTTGTTACAGATATTATTTATAAAAAGTTCGAGAAAGGATGAAATTTACAATTAAGAGGAGTCAGAATATTTTTTGAATTTGTCACATGCATTTAATATAGTTAGATGCAACAATAAAATTAGCTAAGTTTTGTATACCTCTGAAAGAGAAATTTTCACAAATCTTGCTTAACAAATTATAAAGTTTAAATGTAAAAGTTATTGAACAATTTTGAATAAAGAATAGGCCTATTCTCTATAGATTACTCTCAGAAAATTTTTTTAATGCTTTAGGTGGGATTGACAGTTTTTTCTGTCAATAAATATTTTGTGCTTTTGAATGGCAGTTCAAAATCTGTGTGTTAAGAAACAACACTTTTCAAATTTACAGAAATTTCATGTATCCAGTTGCATAATAGATATATCTGTAAATACGTTTAATCAAATTTGTATGACCATTTTTCAAATTAAAAGTATAGAAGTCTTGTATAAATTATTTAACAATCAATAATACTGTAAGTATTTAAATTTCTTTGAATATGTTTTAAATAAAAATTTCCATACATTTCATCATGGAAATTGTTTATCAGTATAAGTGCCAGGAAAAAGTAATGTTGCATTTGTACTGTAATGTTTTCATAGTAAGCTATTTTTGTTTGTGTTGCGTAGGAAAATATAAAGCGAAGTAATATTCGGTGTCTATATTTAAGTTTCCAAAGGATTTGATTTGAAAAGCAAACCAATGT